AATAGAATAGAATAGAATAGAATAGAATAGAATAGAATAGAATAGAACTCAGGAAACCCTATACTATGTCAGACAAATTGTTGTCCAGTCTCCTCTTAAAAGTCTCCAATGTTGGAGCATTCACAACTTCTGTAGGCAAGTCAGTCCACTGATTAATTGTTCTGTCAGGAAGCAGGAATGAAATGTGAGTCTTGGGCAGTAGTATGGTGAAGCTTGCTCATATTGGCTTATGGGAGTCAATTGTTGATTTTTTTGGGGGGGGGGGGACTTTGTGAGCCAGTTGACAGTAGAGTTTAGCCCTGATGCCTAGTGTGCAATGAGCTGTTAGCGTTTAACAGTGGTAAAGTATGGCAGCAGCAATGGAACCAGATGTTAAATATTTGTCAGCACACTATTGGTCTTGGGTATGTCGGACTGATCCACATTGGAGCCCTAAGCAGAACCTTGCAAGATAGAGGCCTTTAGAAAACCAAATTTTGACAGCAAGTTCCTCGGTCAGTGGAACCCCATCCAGCCCTTTCTTTTAGCATTGTTCTTGCTTATTTTGTGTCTGTATAAAGCATACCTCAGTCATGCCCTTTTTGTATTGGCAGAAGACGTTACAGCATTTTCCAGGTGTGATCATACTGTCTCTCTCCACAACCTGGGTTTGACCATGAAGAATAAGAATAAAGATGAGACCAGCGATACAGACAGTGGCATCATAATCCAGTCCGGTAAGTGACTAATGGGGAAGTTTCTTCTTGGAAAAATGCAGACATCTCCTGGATACTTTCTTGTGTCAACAAGTTTAAGCAACAATATATACTCTGCTGGGGTCTTTCTTCCATAGCTTGCTGCAGACTGAGGTTTGCTTAGACTAGACTCTATTGATAGTCATTGGCTGCAATTGACACAAAATACAGCTGTGCGCAGAATCCCACACCTTGTTAGTCATGACTGGCTCAACAGTCAAGAGTTTATCAGTGTGGCTTTATCTCAGATGGGTTATGATGTTGCGCAAGATATAGTCTTTACATTGAAGTGATGAAAGGCAGTCTTGCAAAATAGGAATTGATCTTGGACAGGAACCAGAGCTGGTGACAACAACAATTGTATCAGATTTGAGGAATGAAAGGGCAGGGTGGAGTCTTCTCTTTGGCCTGATGCTTGCCACAAATCTAGCAGTATAACTTATTACCCACTGCAAAGCTTTTCAATTGCCAGCTGTTATATTGAAGAATTAATCTCTTCTTTTTCTGAGGAAGCAGACACTTGAGAAGCTACTTCATTAGAAATCTAAGCATGAAATATGTGGCATTCTTTTTGCATGACTCCTGTCTGATGCCTTGTAGGTCTTTAGTTATTTCTAATCTTTAAAAATTGTTGAATTGCTAAAAAAAACCTCTGAGCTACATACTGTATTTTTGTAGCAAAAAATAATAATCTAGCCACAAATCAGCTAAGGTAATGCATATACAATTAAATGCTTCCTGGTATAGGAAAGTGGTACATGTCCGATGCTGTGTGCTGATTCATAATTTATTTTAATCACAGTTTATTGAATAAATTATAGGAGCTGAGTGTACATATCCCACTAAGTCAAAACAAAGCAGGCTATTTTACAACCTGGCAAGATTCATAAGCCCAGCCTTTGATGTGACTCTGGTTTAGAGCCTTTCTTCATACAGGCAAGAAGTATAAGAGCTTAGAGAAAGTCAGGCCCACTGATTTATCTTTTTCTCAGGATGGTTTGGTCTCTCACAAATTACCACAGCATCCTTAATAACACAAGGGAAATGCTAAGAAAGAGCTGATGTGGATTGTCCCAATGATGATGTAGTCTAATTGCCAACAAGACATGTTCTATTGTGGTCTGGGCTGGGTGAAAACCTAGATTTTCCTTTTAGCCTCTTGGATAAAAGCAGCATTAAGAAGTACAAGCATAATGAAAAAAAATATTTTCTTTACTCTGGAAACTCTTGGGACTACAAAAAGCTCAGTTGTGGCACACCTAGCTGGATTTCTTAGTTTGGAAAGAAAGAAAAGCTAGTTCCATGGGCACTTGGAAAATTGATTTTGAAGTAAATAAATTTGGGGATTCATTATACAACCTCTGCTTCCTCAGCAAATTCCTTTGGGTCCTAGGAGTTTTATCATTATATATGGTTCTCACATCTGAATAAGAACTGCTGTTTCTTCAATGCCACCAAATTTAGAGCCTGCTGACAGAATCTTGCCCTGCCTTACATTATGAATCATGTATATGGAACTGATTGTCAGTGCCCTGTTGGATTCAAACCTGTATGGGCTGATATCATGTGCTTGAAAGGAGTCATAAAGCTGACCAAACACCTCTGATCCCATGGGAAGAAATTCTGTGTAGAATTCTCTTAAATGAGAGCCCTGATACCTTCTATCTATCTTCTACCTACCTACCCACCCTATCTATCTATCTATCTATCTATCTATCTATCTATCTATCTATCTATCTATCTATCTATCTATCTATAAAAGAGAAATACCACTCACGCATCATCACAAAATCTCCAGAACCGTAAAGCCTACAAACTTGAAATTTGGCATGTATGGTCCTCTTGGCTTCTAGGTGCTCATTAAAAGGATTTTTCAAAATGACCATCAGAGCATTAGTATTTTGTATATTATTATTAACACAATCTGATGCTAAGGAGTTCTATTCCCCCTCCCCACCTGAAAAGAAATATGTTCCAAATGCAGAACACAAGCAGAGGAGAGGAGTTTCAGTTTCAGTTTTAGTTTCACAGCAGCAACCAGCTTTAGTACAGAACAGTTGAGCTAAGCCACGCCCAGGTTCCTTGCTGTCTCCTTCTTGCTCATACAGCAATACTGTAACACTTTCCAAACAGCCCTCAATTCTCTCACACACCAACAGGACGCTAGACAAATGAATACCGATCGATGCTGGTTGACAGAGGCACAATTTTTCCCCCTTATTTTCCTCCCCCAAAACTAAGCTCAACCACATAGTTTCATAGCGAAGCCTGGGTATAGAACTAGTGTGTGTGTGTGTATCTATCTATCTGTCTGTCTGTCTGTCTATCTATCTATCTATCTATCTATCTATCTATCTATCTATCTATTTTAAGGCTTTAAAAAAATCAATGCTTGGCATTTCTTCCTCAGTCCATGGGTAGAGCAATAACTAAGTTTATTGTTTCTTTGCTAATAAGATTACATTTAAGGATATTGGCCATTAGGCCTTGTCTTCATCTTGTCTGTAACAAATTTGACCTGCCTAGTGTCTATGAAATGGAGCTACTCAGTCCTTGCTGTTGGACACATTCCCTGCTTCATCCAATGAGCTTCAGAATAGCTCTTTTGAAGTCAGACACAGTTTTGTGATAACAGTGTTATTGGTCTTTGAAGACACCTTTACAATCCCGCCCTGTGCTCAAAGAATCTGCCAAAGGCCATCCCTGACTGACTGATCAAATATTATCAAAATCCACCCCGTCAAGTTTTCTTTTCTCTACAGGTTGACAAATCAATCTGTACTTTTTAAAATATATATATATATATATATTCTTTCAGGTCCTGATAGCCCCATGGCTGCAATGAAGGATTTGACGCAAGCCATGAGGAAGCAGCAGAAGGCCCTTGAGGAACGACTAGAAGCCTGTTTACAGGAGCTACGAAGATTGTGTTTGCGTGAAGCAGTAAGGAGCCGAGAGAATTGTAGAATTGTTAACCTTATTAGGGGTTTGAAAGCTGCATTCCTACAGGAAGAAATACATGTCTGGAAGGGTTGGGATTCCACTGCCCAAGGAAATCAGAAGGGCTTTCTATAGAGATCAAGCGATACCTAGGCTAAGTGTGAGGATAGTCAAAGGGTAAAATGGATCTCACAAACACTTGGTCTGTGATAGAAGAAGCTCATGCATCATTTAAGAAGTAGCTTGGTAAAGCAACTCAAGTCTTTTAATTAAAACTACAATTAAGTGTCTCCCTTCAAGTTCCTTAATAAACCCGATGACGTTTTTTTCCACTTTGCCGTAGAGTGCAGCAGTTAGTTGATATGTGAATATGGGGAAATTTCTACCAAATAAAACCCGTCCCATTGTTATCTTCTGTGATAATGTATAAGCAGAACTGGGTCCAGAAAAGTTGCTAAGTTAATATTAAACTTGTCTCCCATTGTTTCCCTATTGGGAGTCTCCTCTTGAATATTCTATTGTCTAGGATCTAGTTCTTCCCTTGGATCAATTCATTGAACTGCCTTCCTGTTTCTTTGTTGGACTGATCACCAACTTATAAAAAGTCTCTTAAAAATAATTAGAAATTAGCTTGCAATGAATTCAATCTTGGATATTTTCCCTAGCATGAATTTTTGGACATTCTCTCTGCCTGAAATTAACTGAAGGCTATTTAGGAAATAAGAGAAAAGCCAAAAGCTAACTGCATACCAAGCCCATTAAAATTAATATGAACTTATTTGTCTCCTTTTATTGATGTATGTGTGTGTGTGCGCGCGCGCATGCATTTGTACTGAAGCCCATTTTCAGGCCTGCTGCCTAAATGCAAATTCAAAAAAGTTAAATAAAATACACTATGGTGCTGTGCTAAATAAATAGATTAGATATTGCCTATGCCCCTTTGGCAATCAGCTCCAGCAGCAATCTAGGTTAAATTGCTTCTTCAGGCAGCAGAGCAAATAGTATCCTATTTCCAGGTCAAGGTAATGCAATGGCCAAGGCCTATTAAATCATTATGGCAGCAAAAGCAGAAAATTCATATCAATATCTCCCCTCCTATCTGGCAGGAGAAATATATTAATAAATTAATTAATAACAAATATGCTGCTCTTTCATGATATTCAGTTCAGCTGCTTGACATTACCTAACATTAATATCTCCTTGGCTTACGCTGCTTCTACATTTTTATTTTTTATTTTGGCAGGAATTGACAGGAATGCTGTCTCCAGAGTATCCTCTGAAACCAGGAGAGAAAGCCCCGAAGGTCCGCCGTCGAATTGGTGCTGCTTTCAAACTGGACCAAAAGGCTATTCTTTCAGGAGCAGTAAGGCATCTTGCTCATAGCTTTTGGGGGCTTTAGAGCAGGGGTCCCCAACCACCGGTCCGCGGACCGGTACCAGTCCGCGGAACAAGTCTTACCGGGCCGCTGGTTGCTGGGCGCCGCCATCTTTTTTTGATGAAAAAGTGCTTCCGGTGACCTCACCGGAAGCACTTTTTCATCAAAAAAAGATGGCGGCGCCCAGCTGATGCCGGTACCGAGCCGCGGCATAAAAAAGGTTGGGGATCACTGCTTTAGAGAATGTGGATGAGCACAGACATTTGAGTTATCCGGGAGGTTCTGCTTCCTGAATCAGCGTGTAAATATAAATAGATTCCAGGAGGAAAAACAAACAAACAATTGGATTGCAATTCAGACATGGACACAATTAGTTTGATTAGGAATGAGGTTCTGGGAATCCCTGCTTGATATTCTGGCCCCCAAAGATGCCTGAGCAGGATTACCAGATCAGCATCTAATTTTGCTTGCTCCAGTCGTTAATAGCAGTATTCATGGGAACTTCTGCTGCTAAGGCTTTTTGGAACAGGGTGGAAGAAGAGCAGTGCTGGTGATCTTAGCTCAGTACAAGCCTGGCATCTCTATTTTCTTAACCTGCTTGGTAAGGACTCCTTGTTATTTCTTAATAAGGCCATCTCAGCAAAGACCGGGCCAGTGTTCTGAAACTTAAACATTTCTGTAGGTTCAGCCATAAAGCAACAGAACATTCTTCAAGAAGCACTGAGGCTGAGAAAAGATATTTCTTCCTCCTAGTTAGCTGGTTTATTCACCTTGATCACTGTGTACCTGTTGTTCTTTTCATAGAATTAGGTGCTTCAGGGTAGAAGGATCCCAACACTGCCAGTCAAAAGCCAATATATAGCATTTCCAACTTTCCTGCTCCAGTAAAAGGAGCAAGTAAATAAAAAAGACAGGAATAACTTCAGATTCTAAATGAAAGATACCCAGCAGCATTTTGTAAGCGAGGCCAGACAGTTTCATAATTAAAGCCCTATCTAGTAGTGTGTGTGTGTATGTGTGCACACACACAAAGTCGACTTTTATAGAAGCATGGTTTGTTTTATACATAAAGTTTGGTCTCCCTTTGAAATCCGGTACAGCTAATCCAGTAAACTTTTCTGTCTGTAGAAAAAGATTGCATTGGATGTTTACAAGTTGGGGATTCCCAGTTAAACAAAAAGTGTCTGAAAGTGATTTCTCAGTCGAAAGTGAAGGCAGTTAAATCATCCCAAAGGGACATGGAAGCCTCGGGTTTTCTTCCAATCAAAGATGTGATATGCAATGTCTTTTTTGCAAAAAGTCTCTCTCCTGCCTGTGTCCTGTTCGGTTTTACTAATCTCAGAATAAGGGTGGCGTGTGATGTGCTGTTTGTTCTCTCATTTGCCTGAATGGGAGGCAGAATGTGGTGCTAAATAAAATTGCTCTTTTGGAAGCCCATTGCTTCTCTTTGTCTCACACACACAGACTCATAGGCATGCGCATGTACATTCACACGCTGCTGTAATCTTGGGAAGGTTTTGTTTTTCTTCTTAACCCCCAAGCTCACTGAAATAATGCTTACTGCTTTGTGTTTCCTCCTCAACTATTAAGAACCTGTTGTACTGGAAACAGAAGATATCTGCTTAGTCTGTAGATAGTTTTTTCTCATCCGGTTTGCTAGGTTCAGCAGGCAGCTGGGAATTTTGCCTTAGACATCAGTCCAGTAGAATATACAAAAGAGCACGCCCTTTTAACTTCAGAGTGCTTAAATCCAAAATAATCACCACCTAAATCTTTAAATTGGATTAGCATCCCTACACTGCTTGTAAGCATGCCTTGAAAGAACTGAAAATCATTCTTTGTGATTGCTCTTTAATTATTCTAGCTGCAAATGTGACAGGAGAATTAAATTTAGTGAGGGAAGTGTCTGGTACCTTGTGCAATATTATCTTGGCCCAACTTTCCCCATAACTCTAGAAACATGATAATATGCACCTTTGCTTGTATTGTATGCTAAGCATGGCCTTGCCCTGTTCATTTTTCCTTGTTTATTGAATGTTCAATACATATAAAAAGAACTGTTAGGAAAAATGATTTGAGACATAGTGTATTTTGCCCACTAAGTCTCAGCATAATTATATGAATCATGAAAATCTTTCAAGGGCAATAAGTCCTGAGGTCATAGTTAAACCATGAAGGGAGATGTCATTTCCAGAAGAATTAACTTATCTTCAGTCTAAATCCAATTAGTTACCTATCTTTACACACTCCTATGCCTGAAGGAGCTTCGTTTTGTTGTTCTCCATCACCCTGTAGAATTTCTCATACTAGAATGCTCACTGCATATGTATACACACGTATGCCTATGCTCTTATGTGCACATGCATACGGTATGTGCAAGGGAATTCTGGAATCTTTTCTGCAACTGAGGATAGCGAAATGCTGTTTTTCAGCAGGCCATATTTGCCTAGCATATCCAACAGGGATCTAAGTGGCAGTTCTTTTATTAGTTTGTGAGCCATTTGGATTGTTGCTACTTATATTCCACAGATTTTTATGACACGTCAATGGAACATCAATGAATGCATTGAGCAAATCAAGCAAACATACAATCCTTTTGTGCCAGAGACCTTTTTTTCCTATGTGGAACAATACACTATGCTTTAAAACAGTGTTTCTCAACAACTGGTAATTTTCAGATGTGTAGACTTCTATGATTTCAAAGGTATATGCTGAACATGCTCATCTGAAAAACATTGTTTCCCCCTCATTGTTAAAAACATTGATTTCCCCCTCCTCCCACTTTTCTTCTTTTTATCTGTTTTCCCCATCCCATACAAAAGCATCTAGCCCAAAATAATCATTGAAACAAACAAAAAAAAAAAGCAATTTCTCTCGCACAGCAAAGATTTACTTGCATGACCATTGTCAACCCTAATTCACACAGATTTCTGTTGCACAAAGCCTTACAAAACATGGCTGGCTTCTGGCTTCTATGGAAACCCCCAGATCAGCTTACAATGACTAAGTGTATTACTAGAAAGCGTTCAAAACGTAACTAGGTAAAAAGGATGCATCATGTTTAATTACCAAGATGTCCACAAAAGGAGTCTTTGGAGCAGAGAATGGGGTGATGATGTCAGACCTGTGCTGACTTCTTCAAGGAGTGACTCTAAGTTCCGACACTTTAGATCCCCCTTCTATTCTCTTTAAAAGGCCAGTCACACCACCCCTTGCTAAGAACCACTCAGAAAAGGCAAGATGTTTGGAATATACTCTCCCTCTCTTTTCTCCAGGATCCGCTGAGCACATTAGAGAGAGACCTGGCTCTGCAGCTACAGATTGCTGAAGCTGCTCGGTGTCTTTCCAAAGAAGAAAATCTTGCCAAGCAGGTTCGAAAACGGCGGAAAAGCGCCGTTTTGAAAGAGGAAAAGAAACTGAAGGAGTTGGAGCAAGCGCTCTGTGACTATCGCCTGGCATCCAAACAGCAGTCCCAGATAAAGACCATTGCTCCAGCCTTAGAAGGTAAGTGGAATCAATCCGGAGCACGGTTATCTAATTCAGTTCTATCTCTGAAATTCATTTTTGTAACTCCTGCTGCCTCATCCAGCCGCACCACTGAATTTTTATTTCCTGCTATCTTGAAGAATGAAGTATGTAAAAGCCAAGCATAAACTTAGCACAGTCCTCAAGGAAGTAACACAACAGTAACCCCACAATCAAATCCAGCCCTGGCCATGATGTGTTAGAAGCGTGCTCATTTTGCATCATTTTTCCTAGGGACCATTAAGGCAAGGGGGTCAAACTCATGTCGTCACGTGACGTATCATGACTTCCTCCCACCCTTTGCTAAACTGGGTGTGGGCTTGGCCAGAATGTGACACAGCTGGCCTGCGGACCACGAGTTTCACAGCCCTGCATTGGGGCAGCCTACAGGTGGGCTGTAATTTATACAAATGCTGCGCTGAATGACTTTAAAATACCTCTTACATGGCTTGGAAAGCAAAGCTGTAAGTATATATTTTGGGAAGCAAGCTTGATATGAAAAAAAAGGCCTTAAAACTTAATAAGGTGTTGGTAATAATAATAAATTCTACCAAGGGCAGGCTAATTGGTTTATTATGTATAGCCACTAGAGAGAATAAAATTAAAAACCCCTTTGACTGAAAACCTACAAACCAGGAAAGTCTCACAAAACCTTAAGGTCTAATAGGTTTTGTTAAAATAGATTTGTTTCTCTTTAGGCTGCCACAAGGCTCTTTGTTATTATGAGGAAGTGGGTTTTGAAATTAAAAAAGGTTGTCAGGAAATGAGACAGGGGTTAGGATTAAGTACATGTCCCTGTAAATCATAAGAAACAGGTTAAATGAACTTTTGACAGGCACGGCTTGGGTGGAATTCATCCCAGTTCAAAGCAGGAAGCTGACCTTTTATGGCTTCTTCCTGCTGTGATAAGCTACCAAGGGAAATTTTCTGTAAGTGGTTGCCAAAGAGAACTCAAGGGAAAAAAAAAAAAACCAGGGAGAGGCAGCTGGAGGAGGAAACATGTAGAAGCCTGCTGTGAATGATTGACGCAAAGCTCCCTGGCATCAGATTTAACCTTTAAAAAGTCAGTCCCCTGACTTAGCTTCCCAAGTTGCCCCCCCTCCAGCTGTGCTGGGACTACAGAATTCCCAGAAACAGGGCAAATAGACATACTCCCTAGGAATTCTGAAAAACATGCCTGCAAGGCCCTGTGTGGTAGAAGGTTCCTTTAGAATCTTCTTTAGTCTCTGTCACTTGCTTGACAGTGAGAACAATTGATCAGTGGAACGGCCCATCCCTGGAGGTTTTCAAGAAGAGATTGGACATTTGTCTGAAATGGTACAGGGTCTCCTCCCTGAGTAGGGGGCTGGACTAGAAGACCTCCAAGGTCCCTTCCAAATCTCTTGTTCTGTAATTTTTACAGACAAAAGTGCAATCCTGTGAACACTGAACTGAGGAGAAGCTGTGCTGAACTCAGACTTACTTGCACACAGAATAAATGTATTTTGAACTTCAGTCTTAGACTCCATCCTTGCTCATTCGTTTCTCCCTCCCACCTTGGCTGGACCATAAAAGGCTTTAGTATCTACTAGTTCAGATATTCTACAATGAAAATAGCTATATTGAAACTATGTTTGCATTCACTGGGGTAACTGGATGGCTTCTTATGCACCCACTTCATTGCTTTCTGCCCAATAATTTCATATGGTAAATATTTGCAGATAAGAACTTAGTGTTTTCTTTGATACCTTGTACTATTTGTTTGGGGTATCTGGAACACAAAAAGGCAGCTTCTTTCAAACAAAATCATTGAGGCAACTGTCAACTGCTTCTCAGGGTTCCTAACAGGAGTCTTTCCCAGCTGTATCTAGAGTTGATCGGGTTTGAACCTACACACAAAGAGACTCTTTGTTGAATGGAAGGACAATAGTTTGCGTAGATTGTGCAGGAGATCTTATTGACCGAATGAGATCACCTTTCCTCCTCCCCCCACCTCAGAGTCCACCTTGGCTGGACCATAAAAGGAAACTAGTGGTTATTAGCATCTACCTGTTGTTTCAGAGTGAACCCTACGTAAGCTCTTTGAAATGAATCAGCTTAAGGGCATTTCTCTCTGAATTGCCCTCGTCTCTCATCCACACTACATCTAAAGAGTAAAAGGAATTTTGAGCTATTAATTAACAATTTGATATTTTGACTGTGTGGAAAAATGCTGCCTGAAATGCACATCCCAATCCTTTAGATTAGTATTAATTCGCTTTATCATGGACTGTTTCTTTGAGGAGGGTAGGTTTGTGTACATGAATGCTTTGCCTTGAATGATGTGGTTTGGGTTATTGGAGTTAGCCCAGTACTAATAAGATAAAAAGCTTTTGTTGTCCCTTCTGTGGTTCTTTGAGGGATTTATGACTGCATATTTCTAGTGAGTGTCAGAGATTCTAATAGCTGCTTGGAAATCTATAGCTCAAAGGAGGCCAAATTGTTGATATTTTTTCTCTGATGGCATGAGTAACTCAAAAAACATTGCTAAAATTGATAGAATCTTTAGGAAGAAACCCCCCCACAGAACTACTCAAAGTCTCATTTTTAATTACGCAGTGGGGGTGTTTATGCTCAGTGATCTCAGAACGCTAGCTGGGTAGGGTGGGGGGCAGGAGGAGATGGGGACGTGGCAAATAAGTGGGAAGAGTGAATGAAATCCAATATCTAGAATCCTAAATAGCAAAAGGCTTTGCAGGTCTCATTTACAGTGCCCTTCCCCATTTCTTCTTAAGGGTTCAGTGCCTCTGATGAACATTGCTTGTTGGACACAACTGTGAGAGAAGAAGGTAAGTTAATTAAGTGTGACCCTAATGCCTTTACTTGGGAGGCTCTTCCCTTTGCATGCCAACCTCAAAAAGATCTTAGGGCATTCTTTTTTTATGATAGAATGGCCTCTTTCTTTACTGATTTTCTGTACTAACTTTGATATCTTTGAACACATTTTGTTACATCATTTTTGCATGGTAATGTAATAACATTCATAACTA